TGTGTGGGAGGCAGAAAGTCACTGTCTACAACTGGGCCAGATGTGGTCCCCACTCTTCCACATCCACTGGATAAGGTCGCAATCTGCCAATCTCAGGCAGCATAATCCATGAACATCAGTACCTATAAACCTTTGTGTCTAACGACCCAAATCCACACCCACCTAGGAACGTCACGAGGAAACTGATGTCCAGAATCTGGAACTAGTCAGTGGTAGGAGGGCCATCCAGAACCCTCAGTCCCACCCTATCATCCTTCATCCCTGAGAGGTGATAAGAGTCCCCCGCCAACCCCACCTTCAGCAGCTAGAGCACAAAGGTGCAAACGTGGTGGGTGGAAGACATAGGTAGTATGTGACAAGGTGGTCTGCTTCACTTAACACTATTTGTAATAATAAGAAGGTCCCTGAAAAGAAGCATCCCCTCATCAACTCTACATTACCAGGGGACAACAGTGGCCAGCTCAGAGCTTACTCTCCTCCCAGAAAGGGGCTCACAAGTGTCACTTCAGCCTTTAAAGGAAATGTCCAGGATCAGGGCCAGGGCCAACCCTTTCATCCAACTTCAAGGATACACAGATGGCACACAGCACATGCCACATCCTTTCTCCATGCCTCCCCATGTCAATTCAGCCCACACATGCTCAAATCCAGTTGTTAGTACACTCCACAGTTCTCCAGAGAGCCCTTGGTCCTAAGGACTTGCCCTTTTCCCCAGATTCAACCCTACAATAAACTCACCATCCTCACTTCAACTGAGGGACCCTGTCCTCTCAATAACAGGGGGTCAGAACACCTCACCCAGGATGCAACGACACCCAAGATCATCAGGATCTACAGAAGCCTGTGCATTTGTTCATTGGACACTAAACACCCCACATTCACCACTGGGTTCCATCTGTACTTAGACACTGTCCCTGGCTCCTTGAAAGCACTCAACTCAAGTACTTTCAGAATCAGAGATAGGCCTCCTACCTACAAGGCCAGCACTTGGGAGCACTCCCAGCACCTGGCAATCTCCATGTCAAATTTCTTCAGGCTGGCAACATTCTGTGGGCCCTTCTGAGTCTCCGTATAGATGACTTTACATGTCTGACTCATGCTGGTGTCCATAGAAATGAGGTTTCTCTGCTGGCATCTGGAATGCTACCCAGAGAGCTCCTTGCCTACTTGCTAATTCATTGTTTCTTTGCAGATGCAAGGGTGTTTCAAGATTTACTCTACACATAACCAGGGCAGAGGGACTGCAATTGTTCATCTCTTCAGTGTTGTTTGAGTTATCGCTGAGGGTTAGAAACTGTGAGCAGGCCGGGGAAGAAACACAGGTTTCCCTGGAAACCACAACTCTCTGAGGTATTCCCATCTTTTGGGAAATTTCCATAAGATTTTCTGAATCTCAGTCAATGAGGCTGCAGGAAGACCTGCTACTTGAGAGAAGCTGAGCACACACCACCGTTCAGTGATCAGGGTTCTTCCCCAAATGCCATAAACCATACCGTTGGAGACCAGACCTTGGAAGTCCAAGTCAACACCTCTCCTGTCTGCTCTAGTGAGGACCAGGCCTGTACCTACTCCTCAAATGATCCTCCAATTCCAACTTCCAGCCTTGGAGCTAAAAGCAGTTAAGGGGAATGAGAAAGAGCTAAAAGGCAGACTAGACACCATTCCACTGGGGAAGGAGGCCGATCTGGGCCCAAAGCACTCAAAGACCCTTGAACCTGATCCTGGATGTTGCTCTGACTATGAAATGGGAGGTGTTACCTAGTTGGACAGCCTCTGGCAATGGCTCTGGGACTCCTAGGGCCCTTATAGGGATACCTAGACACGGTGGACAGAGGGGTCTTGGTGATCAGCCCAAAGAGATGAGCCATGGGAAAGCCCAGAATCCACAGTACAAACCTTCATGACTTGGTTTTCCACTTAGCTGTTTTAAATGCCAGTTTTTCTTCTAGTTGGCTGCTGGCCTGGATGTTGAAAAGACCAAGTTGTCCACACTCTCAGTTCTAAGGCAGGCCACCTCTCTGCTTACACAGGAGAACCCTTTCAGCTTCAGTTTCCCCACCAAGCTCCTCTGGCCATGGGGCAATAAGGCTAGCATGTGGTAGGATCATCACGACCCAGCAACCTTTCCCTATGTCCCTGAGTTACTTGGAGCTCCCTTCCAGGTCTCTTGAGCACAACAGATGGATGTGATTCCTCCAAGGCTCCCATAAATACTCCCACCTCTGTCTAGATTTGTCTTTGCTGTGGCTCACCCTTGAAAAGAGCTAGGCAATGACAGTGTCTGCCTGGGTGACCCCCGCCCCTGCTCCAGATGAGTGCAGAACTGTTTCTAAAAATATCTCTCACAAGCAGTACATAGTGGCATCACTTTGTAAAAGGCAAACGGCAGGGCCCTGTGGATGGTGGGTCCGACTGGCCTTAACCACCAGAGTCCAAACCAAGGGTAGCCACCTCTCTCCTGTCTCTGGACAGCGGCTGACCTTCAGCGAGCCAACAGGACTGGACAAGAGGCTGGTACAACTGCACCTCTCACAAATCAGGCTTTGATGGCCAAAGGCAGAAGGAAAGTAGCCCAGGGAAATCCAGCACAGCTTAGATGAGGACTCACTTCTATGAGCCTTGGCTCTGTTCCCCACAAGATACCAGGAGAGGCTGCATCTTCCTTGGTAACTAATGAACAAACCAAATACTACCTAGCACACAGCATGGCCTAGTCCATGGGGGGGGGAGGGGGCAACTGTCAACACAAGGGCTGAACACAAGCTCAGGAATCTCAAGCCACTGGACTGCCTAAATCAGATAGAGGTCAGTGTGGAGGATTCCATGTCTGGAAGCTGGGGGGATGGGTCGTGAGCAAGATAGGCAGTCAGAGATGTGTCACCGTTCACAATGGGATCAATAGGCAGCCTAGAAAATACCACTTGGTCTATATAAAGTCCAGGGAGCCAGGAGTGGCTGTTACTGCCTTACTGATGAAAAGATAAGGCTATCAGGGGTTCTAAGACTAAACACTTGTGTTTGGTCCCAAGTTAGCACCAGAGATCCTCTGTTCTTCAATGCTCTCCCTCCTGCCCCAACCCCCAGGCACCTCCCTGTGAGCCCTAGCCACAAAGTAGAGGAGCCAAGGGACCTGCAGCAGGCTGAAGCAGGATGCCTTCATGCTAGAAGTCTAAACCCTAAAGTGTCTAAACCCTGAAGTGTGCCCTAAAGTCTGGCACACTTCAGGGACAGGGGTTGCTCTCTGATGAACTGGGGCTGATGTGGGGATAGGTAAGTTGGAGTAGCACACAGAGTCCATAAAGCAAGGGCCTCCCATGCTGGACTCTGAGCTCAGTATGCTGCTGCTTTTAGGAATCAGGATGCAGACAGCAGACACAGAGAAACTGACAAGTCAAACCCAGGGACAGGACAGGGCCCCATAAAGGCTACAGACTCAAAATAAGGATCCTAGATAATGCTACGATCCTGGCTATCCACATCCAGCCCTGTGGACACAGGATTCCATCCTGTCTGTGCCCCAGGAGTCACCTGGGGCCAGGACCTGACAATCTACAGCCAACCACAGTAGCAACCCTTATGCCCCAAGACAAGGATGGAAAAAATGGCTATAGCTGAAGAACACATGGGCTCTTCCTTGGAGTAAAGAGAAACACAGCACCCTGGGCAGGGGAAAATCAAATTCACCTCTCTGGAAGGGGTAGGAGTTGATTCATGGGCTGCTCACCTTGGCCAGCCTATCTGGAGAAACCTCTGCCTTGGGGAATCTCAGGACTGTCCACAGGAGCCCCCACACACACAAACACACACACACACACACACACACCAGTTGTGGCTACCCTCTGCCCATCATTCTGCAAGGACCTCAGAATTTCCCTCTATGGACCTTCCCCTGTCCCCAGACCTATCCAAACCACATACAAAACACTCCCAGACACACACTGGCCCACTCACAGGACACACACCCTGCCGAGGCCAGGACAGGTGAGCACCTTGATAGAGACTTTTCCTGAACATGAATCTCACTCCCATCCCCAAATGCTTCTCATACAAAATGGCCGAGTCTCAGTGCTCCTCCTCTGTTCCTGGTTCCACTGGAATGGGAGAGCCAGCGTCCTTGCACTGGGAGGTTATACACACACACACACACACACACACAAACACTCATGTGCGCATGAACACAGGGTTGCCCCTTGCCAGCTGTGCCCCAGGAGGAGTCCCAGACTTGGAGACAAGGACCAGTCCCTTCCAGGCCCAAAGCTGCCAGTGCTGGGGGTCAACAGTGGTCCCTACTGCTGGTCTCCACTTGGGGATTTAGAGCCCAGAATGTGTAGAGGGGACATCAAGCAGGTGCAAACGGGCTGCTTGGAGTGTAGAGGACAAGGTGAGGGGGCCTCCAGGAATGGGTGCAGGCAGCTGCCCTCAGCCCAGCGCTGCGGTGATGTGATGTTAGGTCCCCTCCCCATTTCTGCAACCCGGAAGCTCAGATGGGTAGCAAGAGGTTAGGAGGATGGATGAGAAGGAGCCAGCCCTCTTCACCACCCTTACTTGGTTGTCGGTGAGACCCATGGGTGCAAAGCGGCTGATGAGTTCAAACCTAAAGCCTAGCCGCCCTCCCTCCTCGCCGGCCCTTTGTTCCGCGCTGCGGGCCGTGGGGAGGGGCCTCTCCGGCTGAGGGGGGCTGGGGCACCAGCACATCCCGTCCTGCGGGGGAAGGGCTGGTACAACCCGGCCATGCAGCCGTAAACGCCCCCCCCCCGCGCGTGCAAAAAAAAAAAATCAGTGACTCCAGAATGATCTCCAAAGTCACTCTCCAATCTCTGTCCTTTGCTTTAACCAGAGACTGCAGTGCCGTGACCCAAACCCCACGCCCACGACGCGACCCAAGCGCGAGCGGGGACACGCACACCAGGGCCCCTCAGTCCGCAGCTGCGCCCGCAATCAACCCACGGCCGGGCTAGGGTATCGCAGGCCCACCGCGCACCACATCGTTGGCCACTTACACGTAGGCGTGGTAAATGAACGCCCAGCCGCGGGGCCGCTCCAGCACGTTGTAGAGGAAATTCTGCAGCTTGCGGTAGAAGGCGTTGCGCTTCGGGGGCTTCCCGGCTCCCGCGCCACCCGCGCGCGGCTTGCTCAAAACGCTGCCGCGCTTGGGGGCCTCGGAGCCCGCGATGAGCAGCGCGCCGTCGCGAGTGGAGTCGGGCGCGCCGGGGTCCAGCCCCACGAAGCCCACCTTGAGCTTCTTCTCCCCGCTAGTGCCGGGGTACACGCCACCGTTGCGCGACTTCTGCACCATGGTGCCTGCTACGCCCAGTGGGGCGCGGGCTCAGCGGGGTCGGCGCGCGGGGGGTGGCGCGGGCCCCAGCCCAGGCCTCCGGTCCGGCAGCCGCATGGCCGAGGCGGCTACGGCTCCGCGTTCCTACCTGGCCCGGCCGCGCGCGGGGACGCCGCAGCCGCCCGGCTCCGCGCGCGCCTCGGTGCCTGGCCCGCTTCCGCGAGGGCTCCGCCCGCCGCCCCGCCCCGCGTGCCTTAACCCCTAGGACGCCATTGCAGAGGCAGGCAGGGAGAGTAGGTCCAGGTGTACTGCCTCACTGGACAAGGCTTCCCACTCTCCTAGCCTCGTGATGCTTGACAGGGAGTCCAACCATGTTGTCACCTCTGAGAAAGGCAAAGCTACACAAGCAAGTCCTGTGATCCAGCTCCAGCTCTCTGAGGAATCCCAAAGTGGGTCCAGAGTGGACCTGGGGTCAAGAAATGGATCCTTTTGGGAGAGAATGATACTGACCATTGTCAAGTTGTGAGTTAAAGATCAGCCCACTAGGATCTTAGCTCTTAGCATCAAGCGGACCAGACATGGGGGCACCACCTCTTCACTGGGTAGGTATGCTGGAAAGCTGTAGAGGCTCTCCAAGAGTTAGCCTGAGCAGCCCTAGAACAGAATCCTTGCCTACTTCAGGCTTATTGAGCCAACTGGACTTGTTTAAGGGAGGTCCAGTTGGCTCAACCCAACTGGAGTTGAGAGGAGGTCTTGATTTTTCCAGAGGAGAAAAGTGCTGCCCACTTCCTCCGCAGACTGGATTTATCATGACCTCTGGGTCATCTTCTCCAAGCAAGTCTCTGTAAAGGAACTACTTAAGTCGAACTGGAGAGATGGCTCGGTGGTTAAGAGCACTGATTACTCTTACAGAGGACCTGGGTTTGGTTCCCAGCACCCACATGGCAGTTAATAGTTGTCTGTAAGGCCCGGCGATGGTGGCTCACGCCTTTAATCCCAGCACTTGGGACGCAGAGGCAGGCGGATCTCTGTGAGCTCGAGGCCAGCCTAGTCTACAAGAGCTAATTTCAGGACAGGCTCCAAAGCTACAGAGAAACCCTGTCTCGGAAAAAAAAAAATTGTCTATAACTCCAGTTCCAGGGGATTCGATGCCCTCTTCTGGCCTCCTTGGGCACTGAAAACATATGGTACATGTAAATTCATGCAGGCAAAATATACATACACATAACATAAAAATAAAATATAATACTTTTTAAAATAACTAGATAAATGACCAGCTCATTGATGACAACTTGGGAGGGCCTGGCTCATTTCATCCCTCCTCCTGGGACAGCAATTTTTCTGATTAGAAGTCAGAGACCTGAGGGACAAAGGTCCTGGTTCCCAAGAAGGGAAATGTGTTCCAAGAGGAGGCATTGAGAAGGGGGCAAGGTTCAAGGTTGTCTGGACTTCCATAACATCATCTTCTCTTTCAGGGAAAAAAAATGGGAACATATCCTTGGGGTTGTTAGGAGCCATCAGTTAGGCCCACAAACTCCCTGGTGCTGCAGAGTAGGAACACACACACACACACACACACACACACGGAAGCTAATAGGGGAGTCAGCTTGGTGCAGATACCACTCACTCCCCAGATCTCTGTTCTCTTCTCTACCAATGTTTTATGGACCTACAGCTTTGCTACACTTCAGAAGATTCTAGAAAGTGACCCCTTCATCATAGATTATAACTCCCTGCGTCCTCTGTTTAGGATGCCTTCCCAGCAAGCTGGATCATTAATCATTTATGATATTTTTAAATATCATGCCTTGCATACCTATGGGCCAGGCACTGTCAGCAGCTCAGTTACCAAAATGCCACTGGCCTCCCCAAGACCCAAGAAAGTGGGTCATGAACACCCAGTCAAACAAGCAACAGGAATTTCATTTGATTTAAACGTATATGGCAAAAGCTTACAGACTCAGGCCATCTATGCCAAGACTGCATCGATAGGATGCCAGAGGGCGGGGTGGGGGTGGAAAAATTCAGATGCACACGATACCCAGCTCCAGCCGAGGAAAGAGAGCTCTGGTTCAGGCTGCAGGCTAGCAAAGTCATCCTCCGGCTGGGCGCTGTCCCTTCAGCACCGGCTTCGCAACCTGCCGGCTCAGCCTGTTCCCTCTCCTGATCCTGGTCAGGGAATGGGGGGGAGAGGGGGGCTCCCCTATTCTGCTATCACTGAGCTACGTGAAGCAGGGAGAGACGTCAGGCCATCAAAACACGGAATCACATTGGCTCCTGCTCTATCAAAGAGCAGTTTGAAGTTCATGCCAATGCCCATTGCCCTTGGAGTCTTCCTTCATATTCCTTTCTGGGGGTATGAGTGGTGGTAAAGTGCTTGCTCAGCGTGTATAAAGTCTTGGGTTCCATCCCCAGAACCTTTCCAAAATTAATGTATTTATCCAGGCACAGTGGATTACACTTGTAATTCCAGCACTCGGGGGTTAAGATGGGAGGAATATCAAAAGTTAAGGCCAGAAAGACCCTGCCTCAAGAAATAAGCAATAAGGAAGGGGAATGGAGAGATGGATCGCTGGTTAAGAGCACTGGATGCTCTTTCAGAGGACCAGGGTTCAATTCCCAGCACCAACAGGGCAGCTCACAACTGTCTGTAACTCCAGTTCCAGGGGATCTGGCACCCTCATACAGACATACATGCAGGCAAAGCATCAATGCACATAAAAAACAAATCTTAAAGCAAAAAAGAAAGAAGGAATAAAATTCAAGAGGTTATGGCCACATATTTTCTACCTGGGTCTTTCTGAGTTTGTATCTTTGTACCCAGTGTCCCAGAGCCGGACACAGGTGAAGGTCTATAAGCCATGGTTCTTGTGGCTACTCGGGATGGAGAGCTACACATAGCTATACCAGTCAGAGGAGTCCCAGTGCTTTCTGGATGGAAACCTACCATTCTTTTCCATCCAGCTGAGGCTGGGACTCTGGTCTCACAGATGCCAAGCACAGGGAATGCTTGGAAGAGGATGTGAAAAGAATGTCCAGCTTCCATGATCTGTGCTGCCCCGACCATCAGAAGCCTCGAGTGAAGCCACAGAGAATATGTGCAGACACTTGCCACCATCCGAAACCCCTGCCGGGAAGCCCAGCTTCATGCGTTCAGCACACTTGACTGTTACATAATAGCACTCACAGCCGGGAGTTTGGTCACCCTCATGCTAAGGGTCAGTGATCACAATACATGGGGATGCTCCCCACTGCAGCCCTTCCAACAGAGACCTCTTTCCCAGCGAGATCTCAAGAAGACAGAACAGCTGCCGTGGACCAGAAGGGAAAACGCTGCCAGCCGGGAAACAGACTCAATTTGGGGAAATGAGAAGAGACAGGTTCTCAGTCACTCTGACTGGGCAGAGCTGTGGTTGTTTTAATCCTATAATTTGGACAACAGGAAGTGCCTACCCAGGCAGAAAGGGCCCCCTCAAAGGAATTTTCCACTATTAAGAAGGACTGTGTTGGTCTGGATAATGGAAAGCAATGAAGTGAGGGAAGACAAGATGGGAAAGCGTTTTGCTGTTTTGTTTTTTCAATCTGACAGGAACACTTACTGGTTGAAGTCAATAGGAATTTAATTTATAGTTGCTTCATTTTTTTAAGGACCAGAGCTCTCAACAACTGCCCTAGCCCCTGGCAAACTAGCTAATTACATGAGGAAGTAAACTTGTACTTCCCAACCACTGGTAATAATTTCACTGTGGTGACAGATAGAGACGGACAGGGAATGGTGGCAGCCCTAGAAGTGTCCAAAGAGGCCCCAAGACAACTTTCCAGGCTTCTAGAAAGCTCTGATCTCCCTCTTCTATGATAGTCTTATGTCTTTGTATCCCTCCTTCTTCATTTCTGGACCACAGTTTTGTAAGTACCGCCTGCACACCCCTCCTCACATTCTAGAAGCCGTGGCAGTTTTCCCCGTCCCATTGAAGATAAAAGGTGAAGACTATAGCGGCCCCTTGATCCAGTGAGAGCTTGATACAGGCCCCACTGTGGAGCAATCCCAGATGCAGTGCCAGGGCACGTGTGTGCTAATATTTCCAGCTCACACTACTCATCTGTGAGACTGGTCCCTCTCAGACACAAGCACAGCACCCCAGTGACTTCCACACAATCACAAGCAGTGCACTCTGTCTAGAATGCTGTTCCCTGTCCTGGTATTGGATGGACATTGTGTTTGAAAAGCCATTCATTCCACTGCCTTCTCTTCCAACCCAAGTCCCTTTTTGGTCTAAAACTTCGCGCATTTGCCTACGTATACTCATCTTCCCTGTGCAGTAAGCTTGGCTCGGGGTCTTATGACCCCTCACAGTTCACAGCCTAATCCACAGAGAGACTTGTCCACTTTCATCAGAGAATGGTCACTCTGAGCCTCCAGCCACATGAGCCCTGGAGGGCAGCCCAGGAACTACATGACTTGGAGCCCTTGGAGTGTACTCTGGGAGGGTGTGGGTGCCTGGAACTCTATTCTCTAGTAATGCTGGCAGAGTGGTCAGCACCTGCCCACGCACAAGTTATCTGCTGCTGGCTCCTGTCTACAGCCAGTCCAGGCTTCCTATAGTGCCTTGCTTGACCAGTAGGCTTGAACAATGCTTTCCAGCCTGGGGAAGCACCCATGGGTCTTTGAGGTTCCTTCTGCAACTGGTTCTTATCCTCAGACAAAGTTAGCAAATGCCCCATTAGCAGATGACTTGAGAATACTCAACAGGATCTTCAGCCTCTTCTTGTGACCCCTGTGGCTATATCCCAACATCCAACAAATTTGCCTTCCTCTTTTGTCAAAGTCAAGGTGGTACAATAAGGGCAAGGCCAGGCCATGCCTGCTACAAAGTGTGGCTCCCAGGAGCCCTGTAGCTCTTGCAGGTTGGATGACCTTGAGCAGCCCAAGGGCTAGACTCAATTTGTTTGAGCAAATCTTGGACTAGACTCAGTTTGTTTGTGTCTCCCTAGTTGATTTGTTGGGGTCCTACCCCCAAAGT